ATTCTGACTTTAGAGGCCTTCTATGCGAAGCGGAATTATGCGTGCCATCAAAAGCTTGAGATAGTGTGGGAATTAACGCTTCGAGTAGTACATATACAGTGGCAGGGGTCGAGTGAACTACCTTAACCAGGAAGGTAAGAAGCGGATGCTACGGAGCAAGAGGGAGACTGACAAGACGTATGGGAAGAGGATTTCGGGGTAAGGGGTTAGAAAGCCAGCGTGGGGTTTGGAGAGTTCTCATGAAAACTGCTAGAATGGGCACACCATTACATATTAAATAAGCAATTAGGAATGTGTGATAGTGAATGAGGGTTACGAGGATATAAGACTGGTGAATGGTCGAGGGCAGAAGAAGGGATAACACAATTGTTCAGCAGACAATCGGTCAAAGGATCGGCTTCACTTGTCTATTTATTGAATTGTAGTGTGGTGCTAAGAATGACAAGGCTCAGGGATGAGGCCGACTACGGTGCCGGTGAAACGTCTGGGAATGTACCACGTCCATGGCCTGGCTGGAAATTATCATTCATACTATGCACTTTGGACTAGATGCGTTCCTCTGGGTCTTCCTACAAATATGATCAAGATGCTAAAACGAGGTCAAACATCTTCAGTACTCTATTTTGCTTAAGCTAAGGACTAATTAATTAAGATACTGGAGATATTTTTATCATAAAAATTTATTACAGAATGTAAGAAATGTTATAATGAACAAAATGAATACACTTTCCTCGCTACTTTTTAAGCATTTCATTCTATCGTCAATTTTTTCAAGTCAATCAAAATGGTTTTATTCATATTTTTTATACTTTGTTTTACTGTCATTTTTCATATAGATAAATTCAAATACTCTAATATTTTACCAATTTATATGAGAACTATGCTAACTGTAAGCAATGACGGCGTTCCAAGACCTGCTGATTTAGCCTACTACTCCGAATTACAAAGCCTTTTCAAATCAGGGCTTAATATAAATCGACTAGTTGGGTATGCCTTTTTATTTCGTGGGCGCTTAGAACATCAGAATTTGGATTCCTATCTATTATTATTGATCTTTTCGTTTTTATGACATGCTCTTTAGATTAAGCCTCATCTTTATTTTTCTTTTCTCATTATTTCCTGCTTATTTTCTTTTATCTTAAACATCTATTTATGCTATGGGACCTGTCTCTATATCTACATGAATATCGTTCTTTCTATTCCCATTTGAATTATTTCAGTACTTGCTTGACTCATGCTCCGCCCTCGGCTTTTCTCCAGCCTCATACGACCTCGTGCGTCCTCAGCCACGACTTAATTTGTCCCGCCTTCCGCCTGACACCCAACTGAATGTCATCGGCTTAGCGCCTCGTGAGCTCCTTGTTCTTCAAGAATCTGAAGCAGATCAGGATCAGGATTCCGCAACCAACCATAAAGAGACTATGGCCTAAAGTAGATGATGCAATTATGCCACGTATATATCCTTGCTTATTCTTGCACCTTTCACACATCCACTCTGCCTTCATGTTTCATGCACGTACGTTTATATTCATCCAGGCATAAGTACCTCTAATCTCGAGGACCAATGTGTTCTCAAACCTCTCGTTTTCATAGGCCAACTTATCTCAGCTTTTTTTCTTTCTCGGTTTTACATGACTGGCACTCTTATTCTCCTATCCCATCTCAGGCCCTAATTTGTGTTACCGGTTATGACTCCGCCGCTACTTTCCTTGTAAGCAGCTCAACATTTTTTGACTATCTATCTCGCGTATATATATATATATATATATACATAGATACACTTGTTTGTGAATGTAAGCATGCATATATTTTATGGGAAAAGATATTTTAACTAAGCGTCTCTATCGGTAAATGAGGTCACCATTATACACGATCCATTCCATACAGTCATTTCTTTTGGCATCATCTTTTGCATTTTCTTTCGTTATCTGTATCTATGAGCCATTTGCTTATTTCTATCCACTTTTTAATCCATATGC